AAGCAAACATTGCCAAGAGAAGAACGTAACACATCGGGGGAGTGATCGATAGTGGAGCACTGTGGGAGCACTGAGTAACATGGACCAGACGGGCATCGAACACTACTGAGAATTCTTTAGGCGTTATCGGTACATCGTATCTCCTGAGGAATTCAGAGTAATTATATAAGAGTCCATCTTCTCTATTTAACTGACTAACCAGGATTATTCCATTATTAAACCAGTTATTTTAAAAAAGAGTTTTATTTTTATAAATAATATTGCAGTTATTCCAAATAAAACAGTTTTGTGGAGAGAAATTGTGTTTGTAAATCAGTGCTCGTGCCAAAAGAATCTGTTGATGAAAGTGAGAAAGTTTCAGTGGTATTTGTGGAATAACTGCAGAGCAGCAGGAAGTTAAGGCGCCTACATTAGAGAACACACGATGTGAGATAAAGTTTCAGATAGAAGTGAGATTTATTAAATACTTTTTAATCCACTTTATTTTAAAAGTGTTGTTAAGAGCACCGAAATCAATAAAATGTATACCTCCTATATGAATTTAAAGCTACTGATTTACACAAGCAGTAAGTTTTATTTTTCCATAAAAGATTCTTTATAATAATTTGTTGACTCACAGGTTGTATTATCAACATGTAGTGATGAGCAGCAGGTTAGACGGGAGACCTTCAGCCTTCGACAGCAGAACTCTTCCCTTCAACGACAGGTCTCACTGTGATTAAAGGTTTTTTGGGTTTTATCTATAACAGGAGTGAAGTTTGTGGAGCATCTGGATTGCTTGTTTTTTATTATTTGAATTGGTATCTTACAGAGTTTCTTACAGAGTTTCTTACAGAGTTTCTTACAGAGTTTCTTACAGGTGTTCCATGAATTGAAGTTGCTAAACAACTTTTAACTGGTAGAAGTTCACATTTATGCAGGCTTTAGAGAATAGGCTGTATGTTGTTAATGGCCACTGAAACTTGCGAGGCGTCTCTGAAGAAGAGAGCTGTATCGTCTGCCAGCTGACTTATGGGTATTTCTCTGTTATGACCAGGCCTTTAAAGAACTGAGTTTAATGTGGGAATTACGGAGTCGCACAGAAAGAAGGAATAAATATACGGATAGGAGGCAACCCTGCCTCACTCCACGCTTTAGAGAGACTCTTGGGGAAGTACCAGTGGCGAGCTTTATGGAGCTGTTACAGTGTCCGAGCGGCATTACAGAAGGATTGACCAAACCCTAATTTATTTAAAGCAGTCAAAATAAAC